TTGCTACAATAATCAATACCCAATTCATACCACAAAATTTAAAATAAAGACAATAAATATGCACAAATACATGCTCATATACATCCTCGTTCGAACCAAACTCTTCATCCTCCTTCTCTTCTTCTCATTGACCGTTTCATCTATTTTATTCTATGTGATGGTTTCTTGCAACTATTCACGTGATTCAAGAAACTCACAAAAATTGATGGAGAACTAATCTCAATGAAAGTCATGAAACATAATTTTTTAATCAAAAAATTAAGATTAAAGTGGAGAAAGATTGCAACTTTTTGGGTAAAAGGTGAGTAAGAATTGGAGGTGTTATGAGTCACTGGACTTTGAGAATGGATTTGGGTTCTTTGATAACACCTCGTTAACTACTCCACTAGCCTACAGTGGGAGAGAAAAAGAAAACATAAATTGAACAATATCCACCATATTTTTTTGAGCTTATTAACCATTACTAAAATTATGAAAACCGAAGTCCAATAAAACAAAATCAATTACAATGAAAAAAGGGGCTCGGTTGGTGACCACCATGCTCATGGATGGTGCGGTGGTGGTGGTTGTGGGGTGTTTTACTGTAGGGTATCGAGATTTGAAAAAGAGAGGGAATAAAAGGAGAATAGGGGGAGAGAGAGGGGGGATACATACGACATAGAAACTATTGATAGTAGTGTGCCGATAGCACCTTAGCTCTTGATTGTGTTGTGGATGTGGCGTTGAGCGGCTGTCGAGATGATGAGAGAGAAGAGACTGGAGGGAAAAAGGAGAAAAGAGAGGATAACAGAGAAGAATGAGAGGCTGGGTAGTTGTAGAGAAACAGATAATTGAGAAAGGAGGGGTTAGGAGGGGAAGGAGGAGGGGAGGTATGAAATAGGGGATTAGGGCGAGAGTTGGGATGTATTAAAGGGAAATGCAACTACCAAGAGAAAACGTGTGAGTTTTGGATAGTAAAAATGAAATTTGCTATGGGTGGGAATTTTTTTTTGGTAGTTAGTTTAAGCCATTGGGTCGAAATAGGTAAATTTTTGAGACGATTTGAGACATGTAAAGTTCAAGAAAAATTATGAATTTGAAATCCCTGGCCCCTTATTATATAGATACTTTAAAAGACTACACATAATACTGTACAGTTTGGAAATATTACAATTAATTGATCGTGCTCAAAGTTGATGTATAACACAAAAAATTGTATATCAATATGAACCCTAGAAAACAAAATTTAAATAAAACAAGATGTTTGGTAATTTACCTTTAAATATCAAATGGCAAAGGCCATAAAACATTTAAAAGAAAAGAAAATGCTAACCTAAACTAAAATCTAGAATTTAAAATATGTTTGCTATGGTAATTGAATTTCAAATTTTACAAAAAAAGAACACAATTAAACTTATCAAAGGACCATACCAAATAACCATAAAAACAATCATAATTAATCTCCTCTAAATTGATTTTCAAAACTTTCAACCAAAGAAGGAGCCTGCCCCATGACTATCCAATTCACCTCAAAGTCGTAGCACCACCAAATTCTACTTTAAGAATCTCTAGTGTCATTTAATACGAATTGCCCACAATGTGAGAGAACATCTCATCTGAAAAAATAGCAAACTCTCATTAACAATTTCACGTACACATACACATACTGCTTGTGGATTCATATTAGTGTACTAGCTTGTGATCTACCTATATATACTTGTGTAGAACTTCAAATCTTCCAACCTCTCTAGCTCAAAAACTGCATCAAACAAAAAAAAAGTTATGATTATCATGGGCTAAACTTACCAGTATAAACAATTTTTTTTTGTTTCACTGAAGTAGAACAGCAAAAAGTTCAAATCATTCCATATATAAAACATATTTCCCAATAACCATTGATGAGTTGTGTCGAAACGTACAATTGCCCTGAAACCAACACGATGAAACAAAAAAATATCAAAATAAAAGTCGTTAAACAAAATTTGCATGGAAAAAAAACATAGATCAACTATTAAAATTTAATCCACCAAAATTGAAAAATATTCAGGTGCATAATAGAGATAAAGACCCTGATGACAAAACCTTTCATAAATATCTCACAAAAACTATTTGATTTGCACCAAATAATATCAAAGGCGATATACTCAAACCTAATGTTAAACTTTATAAGAAGTTCAAGAAAGGCAGAACATTATTGCTTTAGAAAATCATATCATCATACAAAAACCTATCCTTGATATGAAAGATTTTCAAAAACTTTCATGGTTAGAAAATTAATAAAATACAGAGAATTATCTTAGTGGCAAAAAAAAACTCCCAATTTTGATCGGAATAAAAGAAAATGGCTTTTGTTTAGGCCATTATTCTTGAGGAATATTTTTTTTATTAGTTTCTACATTATCAAAGATGTAACAGAACATCAAAGGTCTAATTTAACCTCAATCAGACCAAAGAAATCATGAATCAAACCATTATAAGAGCACAATCAAACTAAATGGACGTACCTTGCAAACTTGAGAAAATTAATTATGAGAGTGGCCCCATTTTTTGCTGGTGATGGGTTTTGGAATGATTGAGAATAGATAGAGATGGGATTGAGAATGGTTTTATCAAGATTGTATGGCCAATGCATCAACCGTATTCCCCAAAACATTACGTCCCACAAGGAACAAAAAAACATCAAGAATCCCTACTAGAACACCAAAAAATTATCATTGCAGCAGGGGAAAAGTATTGAAAACCCCTAATAACAATAATCACAAAATTGTCAATACTCCACATGTACATATGCACAATAACGCACACGTACAAAAGTAGAAATCACTTCATCGACAACCATGCAATTCAAGTTTTAAAGGCGACTAAACAAAGACATAAGCAAGAGGTAAGAAAGCACTAAAACTTGTACATACCCAATTGAGGGGAGATACAATATCGTCGAAGTCGCAACCCAATTATTATATTCATTCAACACATCACATTAAGAACCTTAAGAAAAAAATCAGAGTATTGCAATTACCCAGGATGACCATCATATTGCTTGTCTAATTAAGGAATACATAATTTTAGATGAGTATCAATAGATGATAATAGTTAGAATCATATGGAGCATATAATGCATTTGACCTATAAAAAAGGGAAAATTGCAATCAGGATGTAGCTAGAAACAAAAAAAATACTAAAACATGTAGTAACTAGCTTTTAAGTTTCCAAGCATAGCAAAATTCATTGAAGGTTTGTCATCTCCACTTAAAAAATCCAATAAAAGCACAACCTAAGAAATTCAGAGGATGTACTCTTGATAAAATTAAAGTAAATGTAGTAATACAGGTGCAAATTCAGAAGTACTTGCTAATTAACTATCAAATTTTCTATTTTATTATATTTAATGATTGATTAATTGCATATTATTTATGATTAAATATGTTAGATTCCTTGATTTTTTAGTTTGATACTTTTTTTAGTTGTTTGGTTTATTTTACAAGTAAATTAGTTGATTTAACGTAATAATAGATAAGCCAAGTGAAACAATCACTAGAAGAAGAATCACCAATAAGGACTGAAGATTCAAGATTAAGATAGGAAGATTTCAAGATAAGGTGGCAATTTAATCCTTAAAAGAGTCCAAATTAGAAGAAAACTCATTTAAAGTTGAATTGAGAAAGTATCCTATAAGATAAGGATTTGACACATTTTCAGTATTTTGGTTATAAATTTTGACTCTGATATCCGATGGACCTGCTGCTTTTGCGTGGTTGGAAAGCATACTTCAAGGGCCACAAAAGTGTATTTCACAAAAATTTCATGAATTGGCCACTAAATATTCGAAATTCAAGTTCGAAGTCTGGACAGATTTTGTATCCGCGGCCCCAAGATTTTATGCACGGGATTTAACCTTAAAAAACTTCTTTTTAGAAAAGAATTCTTCTCAATCCAAACTTTTATCTTCTACCTAAACCTAGGACTTATTTTAGTATAAATAAGGGCTCTCACCTATTGAGAGGGGATGATTTGGATGATTATTATTCTCTTTCCGTATTTTCTTTTCTAGTTTTTGTTATTGTTCTATGGCTTGCTAAAAGTCCAACTAATGCTAGAGGAGATACTTTCAATGAAGCAAGGTATTTATTATTGATTCAATATTTTTTTAATGCATGATTTATTCTCTTAATTTAATTCTTGTCTTCTAGTAAAGTTTTTGATATGTATAATTTCTTGATTCATTGTGCCACGTACATCGAATGCTGGAGATTCCCTGCGAGTTAAATAACTGGTTATTCCATGCTTGAATTAAATAATTAGAATTTCTCATAAGATAGTTGATTTATTATTTGTAATAAAAAAAGTTTTACCTGTTGGAAAGCTTGATTTATCGTAGACTTCGGGCACGGTGAATGCTTGTGATTTACAAGTAAATTCTTATATTTAATCAGATAATTCATTAATTATAACTTTTGATGATTACTGTTAAATATTTCGATTGGGATAACTCCTCAGCTGATTCTCAATTGAGTTCGAAAACTAGATCATTAATAATTACTGTGTGGATTTGAAATGGTATCTTTGATGCTTTAGGATTTAATTATTATTTTTAAAACCAAATTTATTATTTTCTAATTTCAAAATCTTTACAACAATTTTTTTCAAAGCAATTTTCTTTTATTTTTCATTGTGTTATAAGTTTTTTCAATTCCCTGTAGTTCGACCTCGGACTTTCGAGTATTATATTACTTCACGACAACCTGCACTTGAGTTATCAATTCTAAAGTTGTAGCACTTGCTAATGGTATGATTTTTGAACCATGCATGCAACCAGAACCACCATCATTTCCATCGATGCAAGGTGGATGACCAAACCTATGGCAAGAAAATGAACCATGCAAAGTGTGGGTTTGTAGATCAACAATATCATCAACCTACAACAAAAAACCATGCTTTAGACAACACTAAATCCCAAATTAGTTCCTAAATTGACGCATAAATCCAAGGCCAAAAACCTAATTGCAAAGTCAAAGTAACAAATGGGCAGTGATCACAAAAGGGATGAATTGAATGGGTGAGAGGTCATCATTTTAGGCAACCAAAGAGAGATGTCAGAGGTGGGGAAAAAAGCATTAACAAAATTAAATCAAAAAGTAAAAAAAAAAGATGGTGGTTTAGAGATCTTGAACTCTCTCACACATTTCACCAAACATTTCATGTGCATGTTGATTGGGGCAGTGATGGTGACCTGGGAGAAGAGAAAGTTAATGAAGGGGAGGTGGCTATGGCATTGTGTGTTGTGTGTGTGTGCGCGCGCATCAGATAGATGAAGACAGAGAGAGAAAGAGAGGAGAAAGATGAAGAGAGATGGGAAAAAAAGAGATGAAAAAGGAGGGAGTTAGAACTTGGATAGTGGGTGTGTTGTAGGCGTTGGCTTTGGTGTCGTTGGTGATGGGTTGGTCCATGGTGTCGCTAGATAGAGATCTAGGTGAGAAGGTGAGGGAAACTAGAGGAAGAGAAAATGTGTGTGTGTGTGATATAAACATCAAAGATGGAGAGCAGCTGCATTAGGATAGAATCTTGGGGAGACTTGTGTCTCAGTTTGGAAAGAGAATCATGAGATGAAAGTGTGAGAGATAGTCCATGTCTCAGTATAGAAAGTGATGCATTGACAGCGGAAACAAAATCAGGGAAATAATGATAAGAGATGTAACTTGTATTTTAGGGAGTGAGAGACAGAGTTGAGGAGTGAGAGATCACTTAATTGCCGGATTTGATTGGGTTGGGGAATTAAATTAAGGGATGTTAGTTTTACAAACTAAAAGTTTTGATCGGCAAAAAATTTTCATTTTCAAGAGCTAATGTGGTAGGTCATATTGAACTGATTTGAGACGTTAATAGTTTGAGACAGTTTGGAATAGCGTCGGCCGTTGGATGATGCTTTTTTTATTCTCCAAACGATTTAAGCCGCTCTTTGTATCTTGAATTCAAAATTGTTCTACTTTATTATATAGATAGTACAATTTTTTTTAATATTAACCACAATAGAGAATATATTCACATTAAGGGCATGATAGTCTTTTTGGTATTTCTATTAGAAAAAGGAGAAAGACATTACTGATAGGGGTGCTCAATGTTATTATTGATTGAGATACGTGAGGAGGTTTAGTTGTTATTTGGACAAACAGGGAGGTGGATATAATATACCCACAAAACTAAGAAAAGATTTTCAAAATAGGGTAAATTGCACAAATAGTAGTTTGTCACTCATCAAACTTTGGTCCTTGAAGTTTCAATTTCATTAATTTCATCCCAAACGTTCAAACATTGAGTCAATGTGGTCCTTGACACTAATGAGCGTTCAAGGACCGCATTGTTTTATATAATTATGTATATTTTTTTTGAACTAGTATAATTAAGGATATAACAAACAAAAGCTTAAGGCTACTGATCCAAGCACATTAAAAAATATTTATTGATTTTTCCCTCAAAACAGAGAAAGAATTGTAAGTGTGGATCAAAAAATAATTGTTCTTTGTCATTATTTTTCTTTAGAAAGCTTTAATTTTCACACCAATACTAAATTTCCTCATCACCACATTATAAAAACAATGAAAATATAGGAGCATATGCATTATTAAACAATTCATTCTCCTTCAAACTCAATCATGGCCCCCAAGTTCTCTCTCCTCCTACCATGCATAACTCTTCTCTTCATTCTTTTACTTCACCAGTCCCGTGCACATTTATCAGAACCAAATGAAAAAACACCCTCAGCCTTTGAGTTTATCAAACACTTGAAGGGTTCTCGCAATGGTGACAAGGTAGATGGGCTCCATAAGCTCAAAACTTATCTAAAAAATTTTGGTTATCTAAGCTTATCCCATTCTAAATTGAATCAAACCTATGTCAAAAGTGATGTTTTTGATCATCTCTTAGAGTCTGCCATCAAAACCTACCAGCTCAATTATAATCTCGAGGTTACAGGAGAGTTAGATAGTAACACTGTGTCAATGATGACGATGCCTCGGTGTGGCATACCGGATATCATCAATGGTACTACTAGAATGAGATCAGGCAATAAAATGAAATACCATTATGGCTCAAACTTGTTCCAAATAGTCTCCCACTATAGTTTCTTTCCAGGTAAACCCAAATGGCCACGTTCTAAGGCTAAACTCACTTATGCCTTTCTCCCAGGGACTCATCAGGCCTCCCTTAGTTCGGTTGGTCGGGCTTTTAGCAAATGGGCTTCTGTATCAAGTTTTAGATTTTCCCAGACTGAAAACTACAAAAATGCTGATTTGAAGATCGCTTTTTACAGTGGAAACCATGGAGATGGTGTCCCGTTTGAAGGCCCAGGGGGAATCTTGGCCCATGCTTTTGCACCAACTGATGGGAGGCTTCACTTTGATGCTGATGAGAGGTGGTCCGACGGTGTGGTTCCTGGATTAGTTAACTTGGAGTCTGTGGCTCTGCATGAAATTGGTCACCTTTTGGGACTTGGACATAGCTCAGTTAATGATGCTATCATGTTTCCAACCATTCCACCTGGTGTGAGCAAAAACCTGGCTTTAGATGATATTAAAGGCCTCAAGGATTTATATTCTTGAGGAGTGAGAATGTGGCGTGCAAGCCTTCAGTTTTATCTATAAAATATGAATCATTTAAGTAGTCATGTGCTCAGTGTTGGCTATCATCATGTTTAAATTTAGTGGAAAAAACTACTTGATAAGGATGCCAGTATATGAAATGGTAAATTATGAATTATCGCTTAATTTATTAGAGCATCTTTAACAATGCTCTCCAAAATAGAAAGAGCATCTTTTTTCTAAAATATGGAACATCTTTAATAAAAAAAATTGTAAATTTATACACGCTACTCAAATATAGTTTTCTATTTCTATCATTTTATCATTTTATGTTTTGTCATTTTTTACAATTAATTTGGTTTCCCTCCTATTTTTTCTCAATTATTTTAAAGGAGATACATTTATCCTAAATGTCTTGGATGAAAAGACAAATAGATTCTTTTTTTTTGTTCCAAAAAAATAGAGTAGAGAGTGAGTTTGATTCTCCAAATGTAGATGGTCAAATTGGACTCTTTATTTTTTAGAGTCTAAAAAAAGAGTCAATTAGGGAAGAAATTTTGAAAATTGTCTCTCTCTATAATATAAAATTGAGTGAAAATAAAGAACCTATTGGAGATGCTCTTAGTGCTTTATCTACTTACTAGTAATTGCAGATATATTTATATTCACACCCAAAACTAACCGCATAAATTAGTTCAAAAAAAAGTAAAATATATTAATTAATTTTTATTCACGCACAAATCTTACATCAATGACGCTCCAACAAACTTGCATCATCGTGTGTGTGTGTGTTGTAACAGAGATTTGCCTGATGTTTTTCGTCCAAGTGAGAGAGAGAGAGAGAGAGAGAGAGAGAGAGAGAGAGAGAGAGAGAGATGAACAAGCTTGGAGATTGAATTGAGAATTGAAGCAAGAGAAAATGAATAGGAGATAGCGAGTTATGATTCGAGAGTATGGGAGAGGGAGTTTGGGAGAGTATATAATATAAAATTTAGAGAGTTAATAAGAGCCCTCAAATCAAATTTAGAGTATTTTAAAAAGATCTAAACTGCGAAAAGAAAAATTCATTTTTTATGTTTATTGAGATTTGAAATCTTTTGCATTTCATTATATAGATGTGACTTTTTATAACAAATAATAACTCTTATATTTTAAGTGACAAGTAAGTCTTTATTTTTTTTCTTAAATAGACTGGCACACCTAGTGGGGTATTTATAGGTCCTTCCTAACTCTAAAATCCTTCTAAGATATTCTCTTTGGAATGCATTGATTAGGTGATTTTATATTTTTTCATGTTTCTATAGAAATATCTAATAGATGTGTTATTTAATTTGTAGATACCACAATATATATATTTTTTTGTGTAGAGTTGATCTTGTAAAGATATGATATATACTTCTCGAATCTTAATGAAAAAAAATACCATATTGGTGTTGTTTTTAACTTATATTTCAATTTATCATTGCTTATATAGAAGTGTGGTTTGAACTTATTGTTTTCAATGTAAGAGTTTGATTGTAAAACACACTTTAAACCCACCCAATTCAAAATACAAAATCAAAACTAAAATTGTGAAAATTCGAAACTGATTCTACCTGTTAAAACCCAATCAACTACCTAGTTAATTTTTTTTTTTGGTCTTCATGGTTTACAATGTGATGTAACACAAATAATCAAAAACAAAAATGCAAAACCAAGGAAAAATGAAGTGGGTGGAGTAAAGAAAGGAACTTACCCAGTGACAAAACAAATGATATTATATGATTCCACATTCAGCAAGAGAACAAAGAAAACATTCCGCCCCCCCCCCCCCCTCCCCTCCCCCCCCCCAAAAAAAAAATACTAAAAAAAAAAATGCTCCTAACTAAAGAATTAATGTGAAAAGCTTACAGTTTTGATGAAGGGTTTGATTGGTGGCGGTGGGGTGTTCGATAGGTGGCGTGGTTTGGCTGACAGTGCGAAATAGAGAGGGTTACCAGTGATAATGGTGGAGTAACATGACCGTGGTTCCTTGAGAAATTTCATTGAATAGCTAGATACGCAAGAGCGGTGGATATAAATGGTGGGGTTGTGGGTTGGGAATGTGGTGGATGTTTGCTAAATTTGGATGAGAGAGAGAAAGGGGAAGACACACTAATCAAGTCCATGAATACCCAAATCTGTTTTCTTTTAGACACACTAACAATCAAAGCAATCAAATTGCAAAACAAACACTCAAATTAACACCATTCACAAAACCACTGCTCTTCTTATCTATTGCTACAATAATCAATACCCAATTCATACCACAAAATTTAAAATAAAAAAATAAATATGCACAAATACATGCTCATATACGTCCTCGTTTGAACCGAACTCTTTAAACTCCTTCTCTTCTTCTCAGTGACCGTTTTTATTCTATGTGATGATTTCTTGCAACTATTCAGATGATTCAAGAAACTCACAAAAATTGATGGAGAACTAATCCCAATGAAAGTCATGAAACAAAGATTTTTTAATCAAAAATTTAAGATTAAAATGGAGAAAGATTGCAACTTTTTGGGTAAATGGTGAGTAAGAATTGGAGGTGTTATGAGTCATTGGATTTTGAGAATGGATTTGGGTTCTTCGATAACACCTCATCAACTACTCCACTGGCCTACGATGGGAGAGAAAAAGAAAACACAAATTGAACAATATTCATCATATTTGTTTGTTCTTATTAACCATTACTAAAATTACGAAAACAAAAGTCCAATAAAACAAAATCAATTACAATGAAAAAAGGGGCTTGGTTGGGTGATGACCATCCTCATGGATGGTGGGGTGGTTGTGGCTGTGGGGAATTTTACTTTGGGGTATAGGGATATGAAAGAGAATTGGAATAAAAGGAGAATAGGGGAGAGAGCGATGGGGGTGGGGGATACATGCGACATAGACACTATTGATAGCAGCGCGTCGATGGCACCTTGGCTATTGATTGTGTTATGGATGTGGCGTCGAGCGGCTGTCGAGTCGATTAGAGAGAAGAGACTGGAGGGAGAAAGGAGAAAGGAGTAAGGAGTAAGGAGAGGATAACATAGCAGAATGAGAGGTTGGGTTGTTGTAGAGAAGCAGATAATTGAGAAGGGAGGGGCTAGGGGGGGGGGGGGGGGGCAGGTATGAAATAAGGGATTAGGTTGAGAGTTGCAACTACCAAGAGAGAACATGTGCGAGTTTTGGGTAGTAAAAATGAAATTTGCAATGGGTGGAAATTTTTTTTTTTTTGGAAAGTTAGTTTAATCGAAATAGTTAAATTTTTGAAACGATATAAAATGTGAAAAGTTCAAGACAAATTAAGAATTTGAAATCTCTTGTCCCTTATTATATAGATACTTTAAAAACCTACATATAATATTGTATAGTTTGAAAATAGCATAAACACTAACAGAATCAAAAATTATATGATTAAAAGACAATAATTAATACCCATTGATATTTGATTTTGGTCTTTCCTTCTCATGTCAATTTTTCTCACAATCAATTGAAAAGAAAGTTAAAGACCGAAGAAGCTCTTGGGTCGGTCGGCGTTAAAAGCTTTTCCTACAAAGAAATTCAAAGAAAGTACTACCAACAGACAAAACAAAGAGCAAAAACAAAATGCACCGGGAAACCAGCTCTTTATGCCACCTAGCATAAAGGATCCGCTTCACCCGTATCTCTCTCAAAAGCCTCTCCCCCTTTAAAGCCCTATAACTTACACAAGTTTTCAAACACTACACTATTCATTCTCTCTTCCTCCACCTCTCTCCCGATGACAAAGGCCCCTTTCCAGTGCCCTGGATCTCTCTCTCTCTCTCTCAATAATTAATACCCTTTCATGGTCCACAAGCACCAAGCCAATCGCCCTAAACCCAATGGAATACTCACCATCACAACCCTACTTCACCCGAAATGGCCAAACCAAACCCACGACCCACGACCAATGACCACATAACCCTGTCCAATTAGAATTTTTCTGGTTAGTGTTTTGTTTAGGGACATAATAGTGCATCCTAGGAGGTGAAAGATCTTATTAGTAGAGGCTGCGGTGACGAGGTATCAAGTATCGACGGAGAAACAAGGTCAAATACTGATATTCTTGTGGCCTTGATCTTGTCGCTAGGAAGATGGCGAGGAATTCACTGGTTTTGGAGAATTCCAAGTTCATATTGCACCTTTGTTTAATTTTGTAGATTTGAATGATTTGGTTGAATCTATGGATGATATTTTGGTTGATTATGGAATGAGTTTCCGGAATTATGGGATTGGTAGCCAATTTAACAGTAAAAAGGCGAATCTTGAGATTTTCCCCCCAAAGAAATTGTAGAATGCAGAGCCCAAGTCTACTTGCACGAGCAAACAACACAACTCAGATCAATCTTGGAATGCTTGATATACCCTTGACTGCTTGAAAATTTGTTCAATAAACCTTTGATTGCTTGAAAATCCTTTAATGGCTACTCGAAGAGGTCATCACGATCAATTTCACACAGCTTGTTGCTGATGATACCATTTACTCTCCATATATATGTATTTTATTAGAGAACAAGGAGATAAATAGGGGTGGGAGTTTGATTATCATTGGCGTTTAGTGAGTGAGTGAGTGTTTAATGTTACAAATTTTTTTAATATCAACTGCAATAGAGAATCTATTCACATTAAGGGCATTATAGTTTTTTTGGTATTTTCATTAGAAAAAGGAAAGATTGTTAATTTTTTTTTTTGGTCTTGATGGTTTACAATGTGATGTAAGACAAATAATAAAAAAAAAATGCAAAACCAAGGAAAAATGAAGTGGGTGGAGTAAAAAAAGGAACTTACCTAGTGACAAAACCAATGATCCTCTATGATTCCACGTTGAATAAGAACAAAGAGAATACTGCCCCCCCCCCCCCCCAAAAAAAAAAAAAAAACTAAAAAAAAAAATGCATCTGAAGAATTAATATGAAAAGCTATAGTTTTGATGAAGGGTTTGATTGGTGGCTGTGGGGTGTTCAATAGGTGGCGTGGTTTGACCGACAACGGGAAAGAGAGAGGGTTACCGGTGCTAATGGTGGGGTAACATGACTGTGGTTCCTTGAGAAATTTCATCGAACACGCTAGATACGCAAGAGCAGTGGATGTAAGTGGTGGGGCTGCGGGTTGGGAGTATGGTGGATATTTGCTAAATTTTGATGAGAGAGAGACACACACACTAGTCAAGTCCATGAATACCAAAATCTGTTTTCTTTTGAAGTTTAATTTAATATTTGTCTTTCGGTAAATAATGAAGCAATTAACGTTCACAAATTATTTGTTTTTGTCATTGAAAATATGAAAGTGAATTTTAAGGTAGACCGTTTCAAGCTTATCATAATACCTTATCTTACCATAATACCTTATCTTACCTTAGCTTATTATTATACCTTATCTTACCTGATCTTACTGAGCTGTTACCTAAAAAAATTAGGTAGGACAATGGAAGATCTGTATAATAAAATAGGAGTGTGTTTGAATTTTATCCCAGTCATATTTTCTCCCTCAAAATCATTACCAATCACTTACCCCACTCATCATCCTTTTGTCAGACTCAAACGTCAAATCACATCACTTATTTCTATCATATGTTTAATCATTTATATATTTCTTCTTTAAAACCATCACATCACTCATTTCTATCATATATTTAATCATTTAATATTTGATTAATTTGTAGTTAATATATTTTGAAAAAAATTAAAATAATGAGATCGATTTTTGGACGCTCGAATGTTATATTTTATCGTGTCTTCAAGCACGGGTTATGACTAGTGTTTTGATATTCTACAAAAAATCGAGTAGGAATATAGAATACCTCTAATATTTTATTGATGTTATGGCTTTCTTATATACGATGTATTGATATTTATGACTTTCTTGTTGTATTTTATTGTAATTATTTATGTATTGTTGAATTTATTGTGTTTTTTTTAATGTTATTAGTTTATTGTGTTAGATAATTAGTGTATGTTACTTAATTAAATTGTTCAAATGATCCAAAAATCAATAACTAAAACATATGAATTCACCCGATTTTTTACCCAACTTCCTTCCCGATTATTTTGGACGGAATCAGATAAAATACCATAATTTTTATTCATAGGATAAGGTGAACACCCCTATGTCTTTCTATTTCTTTGTTTTAGGTGGGCATAGAGATGTGGTCACAATACACCAAAAGTATTTTTGGGGACATTTTTTTTCAAAGAAAGTTATGTCCCGTTTTTGGGAATCAGTGGAGCAAAAAATGGTGCCTTTGAAACCAAATGAGCATATAGTCAAATCGATACTCCACGCGAGTAGACAACCCAATCTCCTGATATTATGTTTTTTGTTTTTGACCACAGCACCAACAACCATTCCCCAATGACCATTATTGGCAGTTGCCAAGTAAATGAAGCGAAACTCCAATACCAAAATCCAAGTTATGAATTAAACAATTTGAATAAATAAAAAAATCAAAAATCAACCATATGTGTACATGAATGTAATGTGAACCAGTGGTGAGGTCGAATACAAAGCTTTGACCAAACAGCTTAATTTGAAGCAAAACTAGTAATGAATTGAAGAGACTACACAAATGATATAACATGAAAGCACTACTAATTTTCAAAGTGGTAGGAATTGAAGGTTTGGTTTTGTAGTAGATATTCAATATAACGGTGACACTACGTTATCATCGTAATGTGATGTCACTACCGAATAAAAAAGTAACAAGTGGGTAAATGAATCCCACGTAATTTGTAACCACTCATCCAAATACTATAATAATGTATAGAAATGAAATCCACTTTGTTCATTTAGTTATTTCTTGTTGGATGGTGACACTATGGAGTGACGATGATGGGCACATCCTGTTGTGTTAGACCCAGGATTTGAGTATCGAGATAGACAATAAAGTGATAATAAATAAATAAGACACACACAAATAGACACAAGAGATTTATGTGGTTTGACTATTGCCTACATTCATGTCAAACAATGATTGAATGTTTTCACTATGGAGTAAAACAACAGTACAAAAACAACTGTTTCTCGCCTCGTAAGTACTTACTCCTATTAGAGAGAATGTACTTTGAGCTCATTGATATCACTCACTCTCATATGCCTCACACCTCACTACACTCAACAAGGCTTTTGATTTTTGATGCCTTCAACCAAGCCTGAGCATCCTTTTATTTAAGAATTCTTGAGAACTAATGTCAAAACCATCAGAAGTGCAATCAGATTTGCGCGTGGTTGAGCTACTAGACAAGCCTTCAATTTTGGATGCCCATGTGGGTGGCTTTAATGCTATCTCAAAAACTTTTGTGCCATCTGATTTTCAGACCACAAAAGGACAAGGCCTTCTGGCCACTTTTTCAACAATTCTCCACCTAGGCCAGCTGTCGTCCAAGTTGTCTTAAAACTATGAATTGACATATTCAATAACACTATTAGAAGTCATTGTCCCTATCATATACCAGCCCAACATCTGTGCTACCTTGTAGGTATCGAAGTATGCACTTCATAGCCTGCCAGTGGATCTTCCCTAGTCGATCCATATATCGGTTCACCACGCCTACGACATGAGAAATGTTTGGCCTAGTTTACACCATAGCATACATAATGCTTCCAACTACACTAGCATAAGGAACACATGACATGTGCTAAGCTGAGCCTTTCACTTTTTGATGTTTGACACGTTCTTCGTAGCTATCAACTTGTCATTGGCATACAACAATAGATATACAAATGAACCATCAGGGAGTTTCTTATGTTAGACATAATTATCATACTCACTACTGTAATAACCATTTGCAGTCATGTTTGTGTCAAACTACCTGTACCACTGCCTCGGTGATTGCTTTAGACCATACAAAGACTTTTTTAACAAGCAAAGGTGGTCCTCTTTTCCTTGGACAATGCACCCCTCCAATTGATGCATATAGATCTATTCCTCTAACTCACCATACATAAACAATGTTTTG